CTGGCGATCAACCTCATTCTGGCCTTAGTGACTGTGCGCCGTTTGCCAGCAGCCGCATCAATGCCAAGATCCGTGCCGTGAAGGCCGAACCGAACAGGGATACCTCGCTTCTGCAATTGAGCGGCTGTCCTCCTCCCGTCCTGCGGAACGGTGGCAATGAGTACAGACTTGTCCGAAAGCTTGAGACGGAATTGCTTGGCGAGGTCGGCAAGAGTGACCGTGGCGTGAAGGGTCTCTGTCTGGACCTTGGCCTGCGTGCCCTCTGCGCGGGCAACAGTGTCGTCGATGAATGTCCAGAAGGTGCTGAAACTCGCTCTGCGACGTGCCGCCTCCATCAACGGATGTAAAAACAACTTGGCCATCCTTACCCCATGCGGGGATCCTGCAACCAGTGGCCTGGTGGCGTAGATGGCGTCTGTAACGCCAAGGGAGCCACGCAAGAAACGCGGCCCAGCACACATCTCCAGCTCCAGTAGCACCACAATCGCTGGGAACTTGAGATCGAGTGCAGCCTGGCCGATGAGGATCCAGGACAACGAGTCGTAGAACTTCTCGAAGTCCAGGAGTAGGGTCGCCGCCGAGATGCCAAGCGCCACTGCGGATTCATCGAGCAGCGCTCGCAAGAGACCTGCTCGAAGCGAGCTGCTGCCCGCCACTGCAGTGTCCCAGAAATCAGAGAGCTCCTTAGTCCATGTGGACGTGACGCCTGCTCTCACGCGGGACCAAATCTTCGCCGTCTCTGGAAGTAATCCAATGACCCTCTCTCCTCCTTTGGGTTTGGGTAATAATGCTCCAATAGATGCCAAGATCTGAGCAGGCCACACTCCATGTTCTTCAATGCTGTTGAGAAGCCTGCAGTAATCACACCGACCTTCGAGTGGAAGCCGCTGGATATCCAGAGGTGTGATGGAGTCAACTCCGCATGCCTTGGTGCCTAAAACCCTGATGACGTTGTCCACCTGCTCGATGCTGACTGGATCCAGCTCTTCCTCGCGGCTCTGCGCGTGCAGGCGCTTGAACATGGCGAGGATGTCGGCCTGAGAGTCGACTGGGTCGTGCCAGAGTCTCTCCCAGGTGGATCTGGTGTGTTCCATTCTGACAGTTGGGTCTCCAACGACTCGCCCATCCACTAAGGGGTCGGAAGAGACCGCCTTGGGTTCCTTCACCAATGAGTGGAGAAGGCCTGGCTTGGATGTCCAAACTCCCTTGGCCCAACGGATGAACGAATGCCGCCTCAAGGTCAAGCATCTTGCCTGAGAACGACAGGCCAGCTTCTCAATTAAGTAGGCAAGATCGTCGCGCTCCATCTCGGTGGCGCTGGCGAATGCGCGCGACCAAGAAATCCACCGCTGCTGATTAGCGGTGCCCTCAGAGCCTGGACCAAAGAAATCAGATGGGTCGAATCTGCTAGCGTCGTTGGTGTAGCGACCAAGAGCTGCGGTACAAATCGCTATCTGGCGAGGATCCTTGCCATGTCGTAGAAGAGCCATGGTTCTTTGAACTAAGGTGAGAACAGTTCCCCACCATTCTCCAGCTCCATCTGTCATGTGCACTCGCCCTGGGGTAGCTTTGGTCTGCATCCATTGTAAAAAATCCAGCTGCGCGTGGAGCCCGCTGTCGAAGGTTGGGCTGGTGCTGAAGTACGAAAGCACCTTCCACTCCTGAGGACCACCGCGCGTACTGCCTGGTGACGGCACCAAGGCCAAGTGCGTTGATATGGCCCAACAACTCAGACTCGACCACGCTGCAACATTGAGAGCTGAGCCTCTCCATGGAGGGCTGCTCCTCCCACAGGTCTGAAGGTATGTGAAAAGAGACCTGGGGCCCAGGATCCACAGTGCTCCTTGAAGGGTGTAGTGCATCGTAGTCTTCCAGCAGATCGGGTGGTACGCGTGCCCGTTCTTGCTCTTGCCGTTGGGCTCGAAGTATAGACCTCTTGCTGCTGGGGTCCGACGCGAGCTTGGGTCTGGCTACCTTTGGAAACGGTTCAGGTAACAAAAGTTTCTGGTGCCACCATCTGCGCATGCCACCGCGGGCGTCAACCTGCAGTGCACAATGCGTCTTCCACGGGACCTGTGGCTGCGACCGAACTCGGTATCTGGAGGATGTTCCGTTCTTGGCCATTGCGAAATCAATGGGAGAGCCCCCCAACTCCTTTATCGCACGTGGTGCTGACGTCAGCAGGTAGAATGAGTGTGCCCCCAATTCTATCAGGCCAGCCAGATCCTTCCAAGGAAGTTGGTGAAATATTCCAGTCGCCGATAACCAACCAAGGGTCTGCAAGCCCATGAAGGAAAGAAGCTAACGCAACCAGTACTTGACGATTTCTGCCAGAAGCTCCCAATCCTGGAAAAAAATAAACTGATACCAAGACCAGGTTGCCCGAGGACAAATGCAAGATCATGGCGGCGAACCCGCGCATAGGATCAGGTTGGCGTGCAGCTTGTGCATATTGCCGAATGGCCTGCAGCGAGGTGGTAGCCAGATGCTTCTTGGCCATGACCCATTCACCGCCCGAGGAACCTCCTCGTCCTGTTGGAGTGCTCCCTGTGGCGCAGACCTTCCAACCGTCTTTGTCCAGTTCGATCTCCGTCTTGGAGTGGAACGTGGCGGCGGTGACATGAGTCTCCACCAGACAAAACACAGAGTAAGGGGCTGTGTTGACATAACGCTGAGCTTGAGCCCCCCACTCAGTGATGTTACCGTAAAGGATCGAACAACATCTTTCTCGTCGGATATGAGCTTGGTGGGGGCTGGGGCGGCCAAAGCCTGCGCTGCTGGTGCGCTGAGGTCAGCCTCGAGGCACGTAGGGCCGCTGCAAGAGGCAGCCTGGTCCGCCCTGGCCTCAGAGGGCCTGGCGGTGACGCCAGGCGGCGAGGGGCCAACCTCTGCCTCGAACGGCGAGTCCTGGTGGAAACGCTCGTTGACCTCCTCAAACTCCAGATCCTCGAACGGATCAACCTCGGCGTCGTGCAGGTGCGCCGTCGTAACGGAAGGGACAGAGGCCTGCGGTCCCGTAGATGCGCGAGGCGCAGCCCTCGGGGGAGGGCTGTCATTAAGGGCAGCATACGCCAGCCCGCCAAGCGCACCCGTCAGCGAGGCTTGACCCGATGCGCCCGAAGAAGTGCGAGTGGCCGAAATCCTCGCACTCGGGGATGGCGTAGCCCCGCGCGGCGCCGGACGCGACGAACGTCTTGCCTGCGGTGCCCGCGACGCCGAGCCAGGAGCCGCAGTCGGCGAACTGCTCACCTCCAACGGTGCTGTAGTTGTCTCGCTTCCAAAAGCGCGCTCCTCATCCGAGTCGAGGAAGAAATCGACTGGGTAGGGCCAGGGGCGCCCGCCGAAACAGCATGCCGACAAAACTCGGCGCGGCGCCCCTCGACCTGCGTTAGGCTGTGGACGGATCCCCTGATGCTGCAGGGGAGGGGGCGCTGCCAGGAGCGCCAGGAGCGGCCTCTGCGGAGGTGGAAGCGGCCTCCTGCTGAGCGTAGAACTCATCCTGGGCCGACTTGGCCTTGGCTCTGGCAGCAGCGCGCATGGCCTCGGCCCCAGCTGGAGCACCTGTTGCCGCAGCGGCGCCAGCAGGCCCAGCCCCGTCAGTTGCAGCAGCAGCAGCGGGGCCAGAAGCAGAGCCAGCCGCATCGCTGCCGTCCACGCGCCTGCGCTTGGCCTCCTCCCTGGCGCGCAGCTTGCGAGCCTCCTCACGAAGCTCCAGGATGCGCTGCGCCGAGGGTCCGAGGACTTCCTGGACCTTGGTCTGGACGCTGTCGGCCAGCTCCTGCTTGATGCGCTCCCAGTCCACGCGTGCCTGCTCGTCGAGCTCCAGGCCCGAGAGATCGAACAGCGGCCCGTCCACGATCTGAAGCGAGCCCTCGTCGACGAGCGTCGAAAGATTGATCGCCGAAGAAGAGGGTGGCGCCGCTGACGGCGGCGCCGAGGCCTTGACCTGCTTGGCGCAGGCCGCCTCCCAGTCCTGCTGCGCCGCATGCGCGCTGGCGGCCGCCTCGTCCTCTGCGGCCTGGGCGTCGGCAAGCCACTGCTGGCCCTCCAGAGCGCGGGCCGAGCAGGTCTCAAGCCATGCCAGCGCCCTCCTGCAAGCCACGCCTTTGGCCCGTACTTCCTCCTCAAGGAGTGGCGCCTTCTGCGGGGCACACGCGCCTGCAGCAGCTGCCTGTGCCTCCTTCTTGGCCTGCACCGCCGCCTTGAGCCTGAGAAGCTCGTCGCAGTCCGAGCCAAGCTCCTTCTCGAAGAACTCGAAGGGGTCGGCGGCCTGGGCAGGCTGCTGCTGCTGCTGCTGCCCTTCGCGGCCACCATGAGGAACCCAGCCCGCCTGCTGGTAGACCCATGGCCGACGCTGGACAGCCTGGGCCTTCGGCGCAGGCCGGGGCAAAGGTGGTCCCTTGGCGCCCTTGCCTCCTGCTTGAGCCCAGGGAGGAGCCGCAGGGGCATCTGCCGCTGGCTCTGCCTCAGGAGGAGGCGTTGCGACCGCCTGCGGTGGGCCCCAAACCCACTGGCCGCGGGGACGCTTGTCCTCCGAAGGGCTCGGCACCATGGCGCCTCCGCACTGGTAGCACCAGTGGTTGTTCTTGAAATTCCAGCGGAATCTGCAGGAAGTGCATGTGATGTACGTCGTCTTGGCCCCTGCCGCTGGAGCCGAGCGACCGCCGCCCTTCTTGCCGCCGCCTCCCATTGCTGATGCGAGGAAGGCTGCTCTCCCAGTGAAGGGGGCAGGCGATGGACTGGGGCGGACCAGCCCTCGCAGAGAGGATGTCGGGCGCAAGCACCCTGGCACTGCCGCGGACTAGCGGTATCCAGTTCGGCCAATGCGGGCTCCGCCCGCACGAAAGGCATCTTGAGCCAAAATGGCTACGGAGGAGGAGGAGGAGGAGGAGGAGGAGGAGGAAGAGGAGGAGGAGGAGGAGGAGGAGGCGGGCAATCTATGAGCTTCCGGGTGTCCTCCCTCTCCCCCGGGGCACTCGGCGAGCAGGGCGAGCGCGGGCCTTCGTGAGTCTGCCGCTCGGGAAGTGCCCCTGCCGCGCCTCCTTCGGGGAGGCGTCTCGCGGGGAGGGGGCGCCCCTCCGTGGCAGCCCTCTCCCAGCTGTAGGGGACGGGAGGATGACATGATCATTACAACCCGGAGGTGAGTATATGTTTTTGTCATTCTTCGTTCCCCTATTCTTCCTCGCCCGCCCCATCCCGCCCCCCCCCCCCCCCCCCCCGCATCTCCTACCTGTAGGGGACGGGAGCATGACATGAACATAACAACCCGGAGGTCCACGCGGACTTCTCGGGGGTCCGCGCTGGGCCCCCTCCCTGGCGCGCGGAGCGCGCCAGGGGCGGCGCCGGAGGCGCCGCCAGGGGGTGCAGCGCGGATCCGAGAAACCCGCGCGGACCTCCGAGTTTTCATGTTTTTGTAATTCTTCGTTCCCCTGTTCTTCCTCGCCCGCCCCATCCCGCCCCCCCCCCCGCATCTCCTGGTCCTCGTCCTCGTCCGCGTCTCCGCCCCTAGTCTGCCCCTCGCCCCGAAGGGCGGGGCAGTAGAGGAACAACACACAAGCATACAGTCGGGGTAAATTAAAGAGGACACGCGAGAGGACACACGACCCTTCGAGGGCACATTGCCACAGGAATGTAGAAGGCATGGGTCGCCTAACACAGGACGCAAGAGCACCCTTGATTTGGCAGGGTCGACCTGCCAATGCGCCTCGACTGTAAGCATGCATTCTCGGAGGGCCGCGCGAATTTCTGGGATCGGCGCTGGACCCCCCTCCATGGCGCGCGGAGCGCGCCAGGGGCGGCGCCGGCGGCATCGTCCTTGGGGCCCAGCGCCGATCCAAGGAATCCGCGCGGACATCCGAGAATGTGTGTTTACGCTCTCATTTGGTTTAGAGGCCTCCTAAATGGGGTCGGAGGGTTGCGCCGCATCGGCGACGTACGGCCGATGCATCGGCGACGCCGGCGTGAAGAAGATCGGGCTCCACATCGAGCCGCATCGGCAGTGCACCTGCGGTGCATCGGCGATGCACGGGTGATGCGGCGCGATCCGCCGATCCCGTGCAATCCGACCCCATCTGTGAGGCCAAGATTTTCTTCGAGGAAGGGGATGCGCAAGAGAGCCCAGAATCGAATCGACAAGTCGGATCGGAAGTCGACATGAATCGGATCGGCGGAAATCGGCAGCCGAGTCAGGAAAATCCGGATCGGCGGAAATCGGCAGGCAAGTGTGCGCGTCCACTGACGAATCGGACGGAGCCCAAATCGGAATCCAAAGCCGAATCGAACCGGAATCGGAATCCATCGACACCGATGAAGGGGAACTGGGACACACAACTAAATAGACATAAATAACCAGATTCCCCATACTTTCCCATATCCTCTGGGTTTCTCTCTTCCCCCCCACTTCCTACATTTTCCAGATCTTCTGGGGAATCGACGATGAACTGTGTCAGTGTGTCTTTCCCCCTCCTGAACCGAATCAAATCGAACCGGAGGAATCGAAACTAGGGAGCCCACAAAGGACGTACGCGCCTAACTATGTACATGGACACGGCCCTTCGATCCGCGAGACCGGCCGCGTTATACGAACATTTGCGCAATGCGTATTCTCGAAACCAGTGTGGATTCCTGTGCGTGTGCGTCCTCTTGTCGCCCCTGAGAAACGAGCCCTGCAGGTTGGGCCCGTGCCCCCTTTCTCGGGTCGGGCGAAAGGGGGGGGGGATAGCAAAGGGGGGGGGTGAGAATCGGCTCACGTGGCTGCTTTTCCCGGCGCCGGAGGCGGCTTCTGTGTCGAGGGATGGGCCCCTCGGTGAGGCCGAAACCAGCTGCGTGCAGCAAATTTCGTACCCCCCCCTTTCCCAGTCCCCCCCTTTCCCCTGACCTTCCAGAGAGCTATGTTTTAGCACTGGAGGCCCAAAAACCTAAACAACTGAGCGAAACGGCCCAAAGCCAAGACGTAGAATAGCCTCGGGATAGGTTTTTAAGTCGGGTGCTATTTTTTGCCCTCCCGGAAGGTCAGGGTGAATGCACACAGATCACGGCGTTCCCTATCGTTTCCAACATTTTCGGGGTTGCTGTCGTCGTCCCCACTTCCCAGATCTTCAGGAAGGAAAAAACACACAGACACAATTAGAATCTTCGATTCTCCAGAAAGCATGGGAAAATATGGGAAGTGGGGGAAGACACAAACCCAGAAAATATGGGAAACTATGGGGCATCTTTCTATTTGTGTGTCTCTATGTGTGTGCCCGACTTCCCGTCTGCCCGGTCCCGCCTTCGCCACGCAGCCCCTCGCGCGGCCGGCCGGGCCCCGCGGCGCGGCCCGGGGGGGGGGGGGGGGAGCGCCGGCGCCAGAGCGCGCCCCCCACGCTGGGAGGGGATCCTGCCTCCTCCCTCCCTCCCTCCCCCCTCCTCTTCCCCCTCCTCCTCCTCCCCCTCCTCCTCCTCCTCCTCCTCCTCCTCCTCCTCCTCCTGCCTCCTCCCTCTGTTCTTCTTCCTCCTCTTCCTCCTCCTCCCCCTCCTCTGCCGCACGCTGCTCCTCCCCGCTCCCCTCGTCTTCCCCGGCTCCTCGCCCTCCCGAATTCCTCCTCGCCCTCGTGCTCTGCCAGCTCCGCCTGCTCCTCCCCCTGCTCCTGCAGTGGCCGGCTAATAATACACTAATTTAGACATCAATCATATATACAATTTGCTGGTGCATTGGTGCTACTGTTGTAGCTGATAGTACGGTAATTTAAACATTAATAATAACATCAAAATATTACATGTTATCCGAATGAAAAAAACATATCATGTTTACATATTACAATCATATTTTGAATATGCCCCTGCTCCTCCCAGTCTCCCTTCTTCTCCTCCTCCTCCGCCTCCTCCTCCTCCTCCTCCTTTTTCTTCTCGTCGTCGTCGTCCTCGTCTTCCTCTTCCTCCGTACTCGTCCCGCCCGGTGATAACTCATTATCGCATTCTGCCTCATCTGCAATATTCGTTGATGAGGTGGCCCGAACTCCGGGGGAGCGAGACTTGATACCCCAGTCATATGAGCCCTTTTGCTCCCTCCTCTGTTGGGTGGCTGTCTTCTGGGGGAACTGACGCCGATTTCGTCTCGCGTCTCAATTTACGCATTGCATCGACCCGGTCGATGCGATGCGTAAATTGAGAAGCGAGAAGAGGGGCTCGTCGGGGCTCAATCGTAAGAGCTGCCGTAAATTGTAAGGAACAGAGAAGCGTAAATTGTAAGAGAAGCTGTCGCGGAAGCGAGAATAGAAGCGTAAATTGTAAGAGCTGCCGTCGGGGCTCAATCGGTCGACTCGACCGATCGAGCCCCGACGGCAGCTCTTCGCGAACATAAAGGCCACGGCCCTCGCCCTCCCGACAGAGGGCCACCAAGGCGGGCCGCAGAGCGCGCACGCCAGCTTTTTACAGCGCACGGCTGCACGCGTGCAGGGTCATGCCAAGGGAAGTGCCCGCTTGTGCAGCGGGTGGCGGCTTCCTAGGGACTCCACGAGAGAAGCCTCATTTCCCCCCCCCTTCACTTGTTGAGTAATATACCGTGCCGAGCAGAGATTCGGCCGCAGAAATCAGCGCAACAAGTCGCGCATCTTCCAACTTGTGAACGTCCCGTGCTCAGCCAGGCCTCGAGCCGGACCAGCGCGGGAAAGAGCCACGGGCCAGTGCTCGAAGCGACATGCAGCACTGGCCGAGAGCATGCCAGAGTTCACTGTTGGTTGCAATGAAGATGAGCGCACCCGATTCAACAGACAAACCATTGGGGAAACACTCTTCTCAGTTGGTTCCGTCCCACACCTGGGTTGGACGGTTTTAATCCACGTTCGAACTCTTGGCGGTGATCTGTGATGCGACGGGCAAGTCTCAAAACAACGCGGCGCGCGACTCAAGAAGGATTTTGGCCACTTTGTCAAACATGCAACGCGCGTTGGCAACGCATGGGCTTCCCAAAAGCAGGTTGCACACTCGAATGTGAAAACGGCTTCGCCTAAGAACCACGGGAAGGCCCGTGCAACGCGAGCCTTCATATCCCGTAGTTCAAAAAGACGGGCGTCCTGGGGGCCAGGAGACTTTTCTCAGTTCGGCGTCCACGGCATCAATGTGCTTCCCTGGAACATCACCACGGAGGTTGATGGGGGACTTAGCTTCGCTAGAACCCAGATGTCGCATTCACTGATACTTCTGGTCGAGGCCCAATAGGTTACGCATCCTGCAAAGTATCTTCAGATATGTGAAATACGTTACGCGTGCTCAACCGTATTGCAAAATGCATCCCGTGTGATTTCCATATGAGAGTATTGCTCCAGCCTTGCCCCACTCCAATCATTACTGCTACATTTTCCGTTCTCATTCTGAATCCGATATAACCTTGCATTCTCTTGGGCCATGGCAGTGGCCGCGCGAACACATGCGCAGTTCAGTCTACTGTCGCCCCAGTTCCATTCGCAGTGCTGGTTTTCCCAAGGTTTACTCCATTATTGCCCCACTCTTGCTCCATTCTTGCTCCATGCGCACTCCATTCTTGCTCCGCGCCTGCTCAATCATTGCCCCATGCCCGCCCCATTCTCGCTTCACTGCTGCCTCATTCCAGCCGCATTAGTGCTCCATGTCTGCTCCATTATTGCCCAACTCGTGCTCAATTCTCGCTCCTTTCTTGCTGGAATCTGGCTCCATTCTCCCGCTGATCTGATGCCGTACTGTTTTCCTCAGCGTTGGCGCGTCCGTTTTGGATCATGCGACCGTGCTCATATAGCCATGCAAGTGCATGCGCAATGCTGGGATGATGGCGCACGTGACATTCTGTGCTTGCGCAGATTCGTTGTCTGTAAAGCCATGGTAACGAGTGGGGGCCGCGCGCAAGTTTGCGCTCGGCTGATCAAGCGCCAGAGGCGAACGCGTGCACGTGAATTGCCTCGTGTCTGTTGGGCAGCACCATGTGTTTATTTCAAGTCAGAAGACATCGGTGCATGCCTAGCCTTCGCAATTCATTCATGGGTGCGTGGTATATACATGCAGTTTAGTGGCATGCAGCCTACTGTCAAAGCGGTGAGCTGGTCT